TGGGGCCGCGCCCGGGGCGGGGGCGGCGAGAGCCGACCGCAGGCAGGGAGGCACGGACCCCTCTGCCCTCGCCGAGTGAATCGCTCCCTCAAGCTGCTCCCGGCAAGTCCGGGCCCCGCTCGCCTCCGCCCCGGGGGCGGGAGGTGCGCGTCTCCTTCGCGGACGCGTTCAAGGACCGTAAGGCCTAACGCGGGATTGTGCACAGCAAGATTAAAAAATAATTTTGCTTAATCTTTATTTCTGTTCAATTTGTGACAAAAGCCCCCCCCCCAAGGTTTTTTCTACAATTTTTTTGCTTAGCCATTCACTTATTTTACCTTTTATTTGCTTAAGGGAACAGCTAAGATTTACATGTTTAAGAACCAAGAAAAAAATAGAATGCCAGAAACCAGTATTACAGAAAAGCTAATGCTTTGAAAGGTGTCAAGGAGGTGGCACTATGCGACTAAAATAACATTCATAACTGTATTGGTAAGTAAAAGGTTTGAGAAAAGTACAAACAAAACTCTGTAAACAATTTATATTTTTAATACTAGTTTAGCTTGTTACTTTTCAGGTGAAACATGGCGAATTGACTAGAAACTGTCTTAACGTTTCTTCGTATCAATATACATGTGGAATAAAAGTATTTTCATTGTCCATGTTCTTTATCCACATCCAATCTTTTAAAGCTGGTAATTCAGCTCGTATGAACACAGGACTAGAAGTGACCCACAGCAATGCTAAATCCAGTCCCTTGCCGTTCAATGCTGTTCAGACCTGCTCTACAGATCAGAACTACCACCTTAAATGTTTACCAGATGTAGTGTAAGAACTGCATGCTGTGCAGGCACTGCCTATGTCTGCCCTGCAGTTATGGTGTTCCTAAAATTTAGTTTTAATTCCACTGCTGGTAAGTCCCAGGAATTACAGTTGAGGACAACATTCACACCACCTAGTTTTAAGTCTTAAACAAGTCCTAGTTATCTTGGGCCTTTGACTAACAACTCCGCTCTGCAGCAACAGAGATTGCAAGGAGCAAAATTCAGAGCTTTGCTCCGCATCTCCAGCCCCTTATCTTGCTCCCTCCCATGCCTACACCACCACTTACCTTCTTTCTCTGTGGAGCCTGGCAGGCCGCCTGCTCCGGGGAACAACCACATGCAGGGCCGTGGAGCGCAGATCTTTCCTAAAAAAGGCAGAGTTCATTTGGTCTTGTCCTACTTCTGGGACAAGAACAGGGCATGGCATTGTTTCCTAATTGTGAAATGTTTGGAAGCTGTTCATCTTTACTTTCCTTCTCTAAAGCGTGAATGCAGCTCTTCCAGGCTTTTACAGCTGCGGATGTTCTATATGCCTTCACTTTTGAGAAACAAATGAGTACCACTTAAAAATGTCAGGCCAACATTTTGAACAAGATGAAAATAGCACATATGGAGGGGGAACATAAGACTAAACGAAACACAGTGGCAGTTAAACTGTAATCCACGGCAAACTTAATTACTACTCTATAATATTATAAGAGAGGGGAAGTCTACAAACATTTTGAGAGAAGTGACCCAAAGGAAAAAACTGAGAATAGGCAACCCGAATGACACTAGAATCAACTTCTGATAGAGGAAAGACATGCTAGAAAAACATAAAATAAGAACTGGTAAAGCCCTTGGGCTGGATGAAGTCCATGAGGATGTGCAAATATTAGTATCAGAAAGTATTGAATATTTTATATGTGAACTGAGCTCTAAAGGAAGATATAATATCTTATTAAATCAACTGGTATCAACAAGCACTCAAGCCTTCCTTCAGTTTTGAAAGAAAAGCTATGAACTTTAAATTAGTTACAGATGGGGAACAAGCTTCTCTGAATTTAGCTTAATTATGCTTCCCAGCTAGAGGATGATAGTATGGGCAAAAAGAAAGTATTAGCACCTGTGGGATATAGAGGGGGAGAGAGAGACAGACAGAAAAAAAGAGTACAGGCAATTATCACCTGTGGACAGTGAGGTGAAACAGGAGCTGGACTGTACCAAATACAGTAATGAGCCCGTATCTCTGTAGCTCCATGATTCTCCAAACTTGTTCAGCTGTATTTTTTTTTTTTGTCAGAGCACATGCCAGATGGATAGCATAAATGCTTTACAGTGCCTATTTTTAAGCATAAATTAAGTAGTACTGTGTGCTAATTTGACCCATTTGTGGGAGAAGATTATTAAAAAGCGTCAGTGTAAAATCCTTGCAATTTGCAAGAGTCAGTTCAGTTCAAAGGCTGGGGAGGCTAGCTGTTAATCTCATACTCACAAATTTTTAATGGAACACTTCAGAAAAAAAAAAAAGGCCACAGAATATAATGTTTGCAACACTGAAAAAGCATACAGCTGCATACTAAAATAATTTGTTGGGTAAAGCCTGTGCTGTAAAGGAGTGCCAGAAAGGAATGCCCATCTTATCAGATATATACGATTGCCATAATAATCATCACATTGGTTGACAGTAGAATAAATAACGTTGGTCTGCATCATGGGTGGTCAGAGATTAGCCTGTTTCTATCTGCACTCTTGATGGATGAGAGGAGAGGGAACATGCAGCCTAGCGGTACCTCACATGTGCATAAGGCCCCTAACATCTTGCAAACCAACAGTGATGAGAGTCGTGAGCAAGATGGGAGTTAAAAGGAAACTCTATAAACCTTCTATAAACCCATGACAGGACTTTTTTCCTAACGGAGGTAGAATTGCTTAGACAAGAGAAGAAACTACAGTACCTTGGAAGGATGCTATTGCTAATGATGTTTTCAACAACTCAACACAGCTGTGTGCTGCAAATGGTGGGAGTTGATATCGGTGCTCTGTAATGTCAATAAAACGGAAAGTTAAATTCACTAATTTCTAACCCATCTCTCTGTAACATACAGACTGGAGACACAATCAGCCACAGATCAAAACATTCTCCTTCATGAAAATCAGGATGTTGAAGTGGCCAGACAAGAACATAAGGAAGGTAAGATGGAACAAAACATACGCTATGCTGGTGTATGCCTATTGTACAAAATGACTTGAAGAGGGTATTTCCTGAAACCACGCTTGCAATGAATGTCGAGGGAAAATAACCAAAGCTAAGATAAATACATGATACATGGACAGGATGTTGCCAGAGCTTCATATAGTCAATCTATGTCATAGTCTCTTAAAAGAGGCTACAAGAAGGCTGTAAAATTTGATGACCTTGAGTAGGGAACGGCAGAAAAGAGGAGAATTTTCTAAACTGCTGATATAAAAACACTTCCAGCCTTAATTAGTGAAGAAAGTGCAACTCTTGCTCATTAGATAGTAATTTTTGTCCATTTAAATTAATGGGTTATTATTTCTCTTCAGTCTTCCATCTCAGGTTTTTTTTTTTTTTAAATCACAGTTCTGCCATTTCAGGGTCCGACAATGTTTTGAACTGGTGGGTCAGGTTTAGGAAAAGATGTATTTGAGAACTTTGGTGGTGGCTGGTATGTTGTCTGGATACCAATACTGGATAAACAGTGTAGAATATCAACATAATAGTGAATTTGCTTCCATGCTTTATTATGTAAATACAAGTTAACTCTTTTTATTCTGGGAAAAATGTGTTACATGTATGTATTTCTGTTGGACTACTGCTGCTTCTATTATCTGCAACTAGAATGGAATACATTTTTACTTCTCATGATTAAGGTAGATGGACCAATTTCCCCTAATGGACCTGTCATGGTAGGACAAATCTAAATTTTAGACCTGGTGGTTTTTTTGCCAGCTAAAACACCTCAGGGCTAAGCTAAACATTCATATTTTTTCTTCTTTTTTTAAAATTTTAATGCAAGCAACTCCACACAATGCATGCAACCCAATTACTTTACAACACTTCAGTGGAATTATAATAGGGAAATTACAGTAACTATAAACAAGCATGAAAAAATATTATTCTAATTTTAATCCTGAAGACAACTACAGGACAAAGTAAAACTATTCATGGAAGGCCTACTTACTCTTGAAATGCTGCTCCAGTAATCTAAACAAAGATAAGGATTGTTTGTTATTTCTTTAAGGTGTTTTTTTAAAATTCTTTTTAAATGGAGTTTTGAGTAGCATAGTAACTTCTCAGTTAAATAATACTAGAAAATAAATATCACAGCAGATAGTGTGATCTAGCAGGTGGGACACTTGGCTGAAAGGCTGAATGTTCAGGGTCTGCTTTCAGTAACACCTCCTGGCCTGCTGTGATTTCAGACACATGATCTGCACTTTTAAGTAGCAGCTGATTCGGAGAGGCCACACTCATATTTAAGACTACTTTCAGGAACTATGATTACTCATGAGCCTCCGTGTCAAGCCCCCCCTCCCCACCCCTTTTACACAATTGAGTTTTCTTATTTTCCTCACCCACATGAACAATAAGGACATTATCTTTGCCTTTGATCACGAAATTCTGTGCTTACTCACTTGAGCTCAGTGACCGCTGTCAGGTGGGTAACACACCCCCTCAGTCTGGTTTCTGAAGCAGACTCTCAAGTAGATAGTTATTAAAAAACCTAAATATTTGCAAAATTGAATCCTACCTGATACACTGATTCTACAAACAGGAGTAATTTTAAATGAGAGTCCTGAAGTGCCCACCTATTTACACACATAACTTCTGCAGGTCAGTGCCTGGGGTCATACAGAGGAAGGTTCACAGTAACGTGGCTGGCTATCTTCACCTCAGTCATTTCCAGAAATCTTAGGTGCTACTTTTTAAATGAAAGACAAAAGTAGCTTTTTTTTTAGCGTGAGCCTTCAAAATGTAAGTTATAGCCAAAAAAGGCAGCTCTATTTTGTTTCTCTGGCCAATGCAGACTAGGCTTAACTGTGGGCCCAACAATAATACATTTAAATTAATAACAAAGCTCATTGCTTCAAAAGGAGCACGAACTAACACTAAATTTGCCAAAATACAGAAAGTTAAATAGATTATAGTTACTCCCAAGACATCTAGACATATATTAATGACTAAAACATATACCCCAATCATCTAAAAACGTCCCGCCAAATCACTACTTTAAACCATTAAAACAATGAAATTATAGCTAAATTATGAATACAAGTATAATTATAAGCCTTTTCTGTTTTCTTCACGAGCTTCCTAACATTCTTAACCAAAACAATTCAGCATCGAGTGGTCTTCTCAAGGTCTTGCTCTTGCTGCAGTACTTGTTCATGGCAACTCTTTGTATTAGTTTATGAAATGAAGACATAAAGGTGAGGCTGCATCTACTTTACTCAGTATTTCACGGCCAGGCATACGAACAGGACAGGGGCAGGCGACCACCACCAGCCTTCTCTGCCGGCAGACCGCCACCACAAAGCGGACACCGACACCGCGACTGGTTTTGGACCAAGCGGCCCGTGTGCTGCTCTGTGCTTCCTTCCACCGAGAGCCTGCTCTGCCCCTTCCTAAAGCCCACGGACGTTTCCGCGAGGTGAATCACCCACCCGCGGCAGCTCAAACCCAACAAGCCGTTGCGTTTGCGGTACGGACTCTCCCGCCCAGCCATGGCATCGCGCCCGCCCAGGCCCTGCCGGGTCTCTGCTCTGCCGGGCCCCCTTGCAGCTCCCCCGAACGAGGGGATCTTCGCCTGGGGGACCCGGCGGCTGGTAGGGGAGTACCTGCCCGCGTCCCCCGCACGGGGACGCCTACAAC